TAGTCTTATTGTAAAAAAGAAAAATATGTTTTGCAATATCTGACATCACTTAGGATATCTGTTTAAATCTACAAAATCCATGCTGGATGTGGTGGCTCATGCCTATAATCCCAGCATTTTGGGAGGCCAAGGTGGGTGGATAGATTGAGCCCAGTAGTTGGAGACCAGCCTGGGCAACATGGCAAAACCCCGACTCTACAAAAAATACAAAAACTAGCTGGATATGGTGGTGCATGCCGGTAATTCCAGCTACTTGACGGGCTGAGGTGACAGAATTGCTTGAACCCAGGAGACGGAGCTTGGAGTGAGCCAAGATTGTGCTACTACACTCCAGCCTGGGTGACAGAATAAGACCCTGTGTCAAATAAATAAGTAAATAGACCTATAAAATCCTTATTGGGTCTTGAAGAGAAATGTACTATTTTAATTGTAAAAAAAACTGCTATTAAAGTAGATTAAAAGTTGCTGGGGTGAGGAAAAAAAAATTAGATACATGTAGGAATACATGCAATGATTTGCTCTTAGATAAAATAAAATTGAGAATCTGTATTAGCAATTCCTTGACTATACTCTGAGGGAGAGATTCTCAAAGTTGACCAGACACGAGAATCCCCTGGAAGTCTTATTAAAACACAGATTGTTGAGCCCCACCTCCAAAGTTTCTGGTTAAGCAGGTTTGAGATTGGGCCTAAGAATTAGCCTTTCTCATGAGTTTCCATTTATATTCATGCCTTTGGTCTGGGGCCATAGTTTGAGAACTGGTTGAGAGTCTCTATACTACAGAGGTTAAGAACCTGGCTTCAGGCCAAATTGGATGGCTTTGCCTCTTAACCCGGCTGGTTATTAGATGTATAACCTTGGGCAAGTTGTTAGACTCTCTTTCTCTGTTTTTTCATCTGTAAAGTGAGATAATAAAAGTAACTACTCCCAGAGATTGCTGTGAGATTTTGTTAGCAAGTGTAAAATACCTAGAACAGTGCCTGGTCCACAGCAAAAATCACTTCAGACAAAATATCATTTGGTCCAAAAACTTTGAGTCACCACCCTCAGGAAGGCATGAAGATTATTTCTAAAACTTCTCTAGTGTTTTGAAATTGGATTCGACAAATAGAACTAAAATTCTACATTAGTACTTTGAGAAAAAGAGGCAAAGTCTACTTCAGTTTGGAATGGTATATAGGGTTAGTATTGGAGAATAAAATAAAAGAGAATAAGTGAGAATAAAAGAGAACAAATGAATATTTTGGAATGCTGTAAAAGGCAGCTGACTAAATAAGGTGGTGAAACAGGAATTATGAATCACTGGAGGATGACAAATGGACAATAAGCATCTTAGGATGGGAGTGAATGAAGGCATCAAGAGGCAAGGGTGTGATAAAAGAAAGGAGAGAAGGCAATAATGAACATTTGTCTGGGTCCTTTGGAAAAGCCACTGATGGTGGGATCCACACGGGTCTCAGCTGTGGGGCACTGTGGTGTACATGGTGCATCATTGATGCTTGACCTGGTCAGTAAATATGGAACAAGATAATTCCTTCTTTGACGTATCACTCACACTTAGTCAAAGGGGCATATATTAATCTGTGTGACTTGAACGTAGATAATTGAGGAAGAAGGTGTCTAACCATAATAAATTTAAGAGGCTCCTTAGGAAAAAAAAGGGGTGGAAACCCCCCACAAATTAAGAAGCAAGCTTTGAACATCGGAAGTGACACAGACAACCTCAGACTTGAAAAGCAGCCAGATTTAGTATAGGTACAATATGATAGCATCACACATCATTAGGCGTATTTAACTCATGCATAGCCCTGCTTTGTAAACAAATCTACCATGAATTGATCTCTACTTCTGAAAGTGATCAGAAAGTCCCACTTCCCTAGAGCAATCACTGATCATCTGTTAAGAAATATATATTCTAGAATTTATTGAGGTTCTGTAGTGCAATAAGCATTGATAAAATTGCTCTCAGGCTTGCTCTGTGGTAAAGGAGAATGACAAGAGGAGAAATTCTTATACCCAAAATGTTCACCCACCGTGTGTCCAACAGAGTGTCCTGGGCCTGGTTATTTACCCAGGGGATATTAAAATGATTTGACCACACAAACATACTTACTTTTTCCTCATCTTTGGTTGTATATTTTTTACCTGTGAAAGCCTATTCCATATCCCATGCTGTGTGACATGCCAGATAGTGGCCAAAAAGTGGCTGCTTTGCACAGCTGTTTCAAAGATAAACTCAGGCATGTATAATCTCTAGTGTCCAGTCCTAAAGTACCTCACCTTCCCAACAGCTTTCCAAAGGGTGCCAGCTCATTTACCACTGCCAGTTCTCTTATTGTGCTGATATGTAATTAATATGGCTTTATGAACCTGAATTTATGTAAATAACTATGTTATTTTATGGTCCTCTCACTTTTCTTAAGCTTCAACTCTTTCCTATTTGTGTTGGTTATTTCCAGTTTGGAAATCCCCTTTGATAGAGAAAGAGACAAAATAAGAGTTAGACTGTTTAGCTACATTACGGCATTAGTTAATATTATTTTTTCTTCCCAAGTAAAGAAAGTCTCTTTTTTTTTATTTTCTCTGAACATTATTTGAAGCCCATTTTACTTCTTTTATAACTTATAGAATATTTCAAGGTACAATTATCTGTTATATGAAAAAATTATTACAATAAATTTTAACATTTCATTTGTACGAATACATGTCATTTAAATAACTTATTCAAAAACATTCATGTTCCTTAATGCCTAAAAATATAGAAATCAGAATGTTGAGATTTTCATTTGCCACAGCTTGATGTCTTCCCAAATTTGTGCAGCTGAGAAACTCGAAATTTCTGACTCTAAATTTCTAGTTTGGAAATTCAGAAATACGTATTCAGGAATTACCTAAGAGGAGAGTTTTGGATGGTTCTATATAATTGAAGTCTCTTAGCTACAAAATAATGTTTCCATATCAGAAAATTCCAAGAATGCATTCATGAGAGCATTAAACAAAATTCCAGAATGTTGCTTATGCTGTTCATCCATCCAAACTCCTTTCCCTTCTTCTCCCTTTTTATTAAGTATTCCAATGTCATCAAGGGTCAGTAATGATCTCAGGCACCCTAAGAAATCTTCTGAGACATTCTCAAGCTTCAGAGACCTTCTTCTCACTAATTTCTCATGAGAGGAACTGTCAGGAGAAATCACTTGGCATTTAGCAACTTATCTTGTGACGTATTCTTTTAGGTTTGTATCTTTTCTAGTCAATTACTTATAATTTATTTGAAATCTGGAGTCATAATGTATTTTTGCACCCCAAACAACTAATAATAGTCAACTAAACATAAGTATTTGTATATATGCTTTGGATAAAGAACCATGTGTATCTCTATGCAAAAAAAAAAAAATAAAAAAAAAAAAAAAAAAAAAAAAAAAAAAAAAAAAACAATGAGGCATAAATCAGATAGCATAAAGATATGTTAATTCTATTTCAAAACTGTAAGAAATGTAGTCAATTCAACTTTGCCGCCATTTACATTAGGAAAAAAACACCACCTTAAAATTGAACATCAGGGAAAATAATAAGAAAAAATTTATTTTGGTTTCTCACTTTATAAACTAGGACAAAATTATAAGTAATGCACTGCCACCTGGTGGCAAACTTTCACTTTAAGTAAAATGAACAGTTAAAAGAGACTCCAGCCATTGTGGATCTCTGTCTAGGAAATTTTATATTCTGTTAGAAAAATATTAGAAGAGAAATTAATACCCAGGTCATAGGAAATGCTGGACCAAAGAAGAGTAAATAATTAGCCCAAATCAAATAAACTGTAAAGAAAAAAATCAAAATTATTTATGACATTTATAATTGGAAACTTGAATTGTGGATATTCAATAATACCAATGAATTGATGTTCATTTTTTTAGACATCATAATGTGCATATGTCTTAAAAATAAAAGTGTTCTTATATTTTGGGGGAAACATTCTGAAATAATTACTGATAAAATAATATGATGCTTCAAAACAATATGGGAAGGTAGAAAAGTTGGAGATATATTCGAGGCAAGTGTGTGAAACAAGATTAGCTGTGAACTGGTAAATTTTTAAACTGGATGATGGTTACAGGGGGATTCATTACACAATTTTGTCTACTTTTGTACATATTTGAAATTTTCTACTTAAAAAAGCTTTTTAAAAACTTACCAAGAGATATGTATCTATTGAGTGTAGGATTTGATTAATAAAAAGAAGGAGGAATCTTCCCCTAAAATATATTTGATTAATAAAAAGGAGGAGGAATCTTCCCCATAAATTATATTTGATTAATAAAAAGGAGGAGTCTTCCCCATAAATTATATTTGATTAATAAAAAGGAGGAGGAATCTTCCCCATAAATTATATTTGATTAATAAAAAGAAGGAGGAATCTTCTCCATAAATTATATGGCAGAGGCTGAGTGTGGCAGCTCACACCTGTGATCCCATCAATTTGGGAAGCAAAGTCAGAAGGATTGCTTGAAGTCAGGTGTTCGAGACCAGCCTGGGTGACAGAGCAAGTATGTTTCTGAAAAAAAGAAAAAGGAAACAAAAAGAAAATTATGTTACAATAATCAGTAGGTTGAGCCATAGATTGGAAGGAAGAACTTGTAATCTTCATTTGTTTTAAAAAATGTCCTTTGAAGAAATTAACTCAAACTTCTTAAACCCAAGTTGAAAACTGCCTCTCAGAATCATGTATTATGTCAAATGTCAAATTCATATATGTTATAAAGCAGATTACTAAACAATTACAAAAGGTGAGTTGTCAAGACTTACTTTGTAAAACTGGATTGGAGTTCAATTATTCATATGCTCTCTTTCTGTGTATTTACTGAGTATTGAGCTTGTTACTGTGCTGCTTTTCAACTTTGGAAATAAAAGGCTGAGATTTATTGCTTTGTTGCTAGGTTTTAGGCAACAACCAGAGGCCCTAGTTTTACTTTTCTTTTTCTACTCTGACTTGAGCTCTGTAGAAAATTAATTCGGTTTCTTAGCAACCCAGATGAGTAAAACTTAAATATACTTTGGCTTCTTTTGTAAAGCAATGGATAACGTTTCCACTAAAAACTGTTAGTCTCTCTTGGATTTACAGAAAAGATTTGCTGAGATATATTACTCTGAAACATTTATGAAAAGCTATCTTTCAAATGGTAAGTGAAATGAATGTTCCTGCCTTTTGTTTTCATTTTGAATTTTTCTGGTTGTCAAACTGACTAGATCTTTGGAGCCTATATGTTTTATAAGTTAAGGTATATAAAATGAATTCACCTATGAGTAAAGCAATTCATTTATCCATGATATAATAAATAAATAAGAAATTATGAAAGGAATGTAAGAAAAAGAAAGCCCTGCTAAAAGACAGTGCTGAGATTCCCTTTATATAAGTTTTACAAATATGCATGAATTTGTGGTCTAAGAATTTTACTGTGAGCATGATAGCATATTATATTACATTTTTTTATGTTGACAACATTAAGATATCAAGAGTATCTGTATCTATTATTTATTTTCCTATCTGTCTCTACCTATCTACCTCCCAAATATAACGTCATAAAATTAAACTCAGGTATGTAAGCAAAGGAACTTTAAATTTGCATATATTTACTAACTAAAGAAATCTGTTTCTTTTTTTATTAGCAAATTATAAAAGCAGATAACAAAAATATTTAATAACTTTCCTGGAGAAAATATTTGAGGAAGAAATTCAAATGAATGTTTTTTGTATTGTCACTAATATGATGAAGTTTTTCTATATTTAGACAAAAATATGATTAGATGTTTCTGTTTTAGAAACAATTTTCAGAAGGTGAATATAAATTTCACAATTTGGCAAACATAGTTATAGTGATTGAACTATATAAAATTTGCATTTTGGTAAGGTTGAAAATGGTTGAATGACAATTTCACACAGCTCTACCTAAAACATGCAGAACTATGCATAGAGTTTGTAGAGATAGAAATCTTTGTCCTAATAATCTAATTAGGGGTTGACATAAATAAATTATCCAGGTACAAGTCAAAACGTAGATTTGAGTTCCATTGTTGTATTCAGAAAAAGAAAACATGAAGCCTATATGGAGATCTGAAAATGCCGGTGATTGGAGGCAGCATTTAAACTGAACCTTGAGGTATAAAATATACTATCTTAGGTGGAGAATAACTCTGCTTATTGAATGCAGATAAAATCATTCTTTTATTTTCAATGAAACGTCTTGGACAAAATATAGATTTTATAAAAGCAACATTTACTATTAAATCTTTAAATGAGACTATCACTAATTTATTTTTTCCTTAATTTATCAATCATATATTTCATAACTTTGGATTTTTCTATGCTTTATTTTTTTCCATGTAAAATGAAGATTATGGTGCACTATTCTATGACAGTCTTCAATTATTCAACTGGACCTCCCAGTTGATTTATTTCTGCCTGGGAACTACAAATACATTTGTGATTCTATGATTTATACATAATAGAAGCTTAATTTTACATACATATTATTCAAGAGGATAATATGTATTAATAAATTCATAATATAAGGACAAAATAAGGTAGCATGCAGAACTGAAACACATTTATTCTCTTTTAAAATGTGGCATAGTATATTGAGGCCTTGAATGTACTTGCTTCACTTCAGATCACAATGCAACCAGCTCAGAAACAGTGATGATTATGGCACTGAAAAAATACAGTGATCCCAAGTTTGTCAGCCTATCGTGGAAAAGTCTACAATGTTGTATAACAAGTTTAAGAACATGCTTTTGGTTGGTGAAGGAGATTCCATAATCACACCAGTGCTGAATAAATCTCTTGCTGAACGAAGACAATATGAGGAAGCAAACAAAATCAAAGATTAAGGGAAGAAAGTGACAAACAAAAAGTTGGAAAAGGAGTGGATGCAAGGACTCTAAGTGGAAGATCTGATACTCAGAACAGTAATTACCACAGCACAATGGAGCGAGCAATGAAGAAAACAGACAACCCTGAGACCAGCACTAAGAAAAAGCCATCCAGTGATGAGAGAGAGATGAAAATATGGCTGATGGATTCTACATTACATAGCAAGGTTGACATATTTAGAAAGTAGAGAGCATATCAGAAGTTTGTGAAGTTCTCATCTGTCATATTTAGACTGCTGAAAGTTTTAAATTTTTATCAGCATAGGTTTTGATGTTGAAAATTTGTTTTGAGGGAGAAAATCTCTGTATCTTTGTTTAAAGGAATTAAACATTATCAGTAACTGTTCTTGTGCAGTAGTAACAGCTACATTATATAGTAAATAGGGGCAAAATCCATTTAGAAGATGTTAAACTTCATTTCCAGACATGGTTGTAGTGTATTTTTAATTAGTGCATGTATGTTAATGTGTAATTGCTAGTAGAATAAAGTTATATTTTTAAAACTGTTGCTTGTAGAAAACTTTCCAGTTTTCCCAAATACCATGGGTTTTGGGCATAGTTTCTGCAAATCTTGAATTACCAGACTGTCTTTTCAGGCCGTGGGTTTTGTGAAAGTTAAGCATTTTTATGTAAGTTAAAATGTTACTTCTATATAAGTACTCACTCCCTTCTTTGATCAAAAGTTAATTTTAATCTCACCATCTACTTTGTGCTAAGTTCTCCTGCTTCTTTGAAACAATGTATGGTCTGTATGACTTTTTGTATGACTACTATTAAAAGACAATCAACTGACATGAACTGACTGAGAATTCTAAGTAAAAAACTCATGTTAATTTTTGAGAGTCATTTTGTTTTGTGACAGGACATTCAGTGATCTTATGACTTCCCTTCAGATAACAGGTTTAGTATATGTGGGAATGAATCTGGCTTTAGGGCTCAGTCATTTGAGATCTTTTATAGGCAGGCATAAGTAACTAAAACTGAAAATGAAATAAGCTTATTTTTGAGGAATGGTGTAAATTTCTAAGATTTTTTTTTTTAAGTTGTACTCATTAAGGACGTCACAAGGCAGCATTTCAATGGAAAAAAAGCAATTCATGTTGCTTATGTGTTAAATATAAGAAAATGCTATATAAGGAAACTAACCTATTTGAAAAAATGGTTATATTAGAAGAAAAAATTTATTTTCATTTCTATATCATACATGTGGAAGAGTTGCAAAAATACAAATACGCGTTGCTCCATGTACTTCGATAGTTTGTGTATTGGCATGTGTGGACTAAATCAGGGTGAAACTAGTGTTAACATAAATTTTAAGGGTATGTTAACTAAAGCAGAGGTCCCCAATCCAAACCAGGCCACACAGCAGGAGGTGCATGGCGGGCCAGAGAGCAAAGCTTCATCCATATTTACAGCCACTCCCCATCGCTCACATTACCATTTGAGCTCCACCTCCTGTCAGATCAGTGGTGGCAGTAGAGCCTCATAGAAGTGTGAGCCCTATTGTGAACTGCACATGTGGGGGGTCTAGGTTGTGTGCTCCTTATGAGAATTTAATGTCTGCTGATCTGTCACAGTCTCCCATCACCCCTAGATGGGACAGTCTGGTTGTAGGAAAACAAGCTCAAGGCTCCCACTGATTCTACATTATGGTGACTTGTATAATTATTTCATTATACATTGCATGGTAATAATAATAGAAATAAAGTGCACAGTAAATTTAATGCACTTGAATTGTTCTGAAACCACCACCCACCCCTCCTCAGTCTGAGGAAAAGTTGTCTTCCACAAAACCACTTGCTGGTGCCAAAAAGGTTGGGGACAGCTGAACTAAAGGATGGTGTTTCTAAGATTTTTTTTTTATATTAGGTCCCTTAATATTTTTCAATAAGGAGGATACTTACCATGTTTTGAAACTATATGAATGTGGGAAGATGACTTAAGACTAGTGTTCGGGTGTGACATTGTATGGTTTGACCCTCTAGGACAATTGTTTTTCTCTACAAATTAGAATTTTTGAATTATTTCAGTAATTAGATTTTTGCTTTGGAAAAGTCTTACAATAGAACTAGGAATTACTGTTTTGAGAGAACCTGCATATGTACTGGTCCTTATCTATTTGGTCCTAAATAAAATTTTAACCTGTACAGATTTATTCTAGTTAATCCATAAGGGTCAACATGTAAACCTGTTTTGATTAAATATACTAAATATTGTTGCTGACTATAGTCAACCTAATCTGCTATGAAACGTTAGAATTTATTTCTTCCATCTTACCATATGTTCTTATCTATTAACCAGCTTACCCTCATAACCCCCCTCACCCATCTACTCTTCCCAGTCTCTAATATTCATCATTCTATTCTCTATGTGATCAAGCTTTTTAACTACTACACATGAGTGAGAACATGCAGTGTTCATCTTTCCGTGCCTGGCTTATTTTGCTTAACATAATAACCTCTCTATCTCCATCCATGTTACTGCAAAAGACAGAATTTTGGCAGGGCGCGGTGGCTCATGCCTGTAATTCCAGCACTTTGGGAGGCTGAGGTGGGTGGATCACCTGAGGTCAGAATTTCGAGACCAGTCTGACCAGCATGGTGAAACCTCATCTCTACTAAAAATACAAAAATACAAAAACTAGCTGTGATGGGCACCTGTAATCCCAGTTACTTGGAAGGCTGAGGTATAAGAATAGTTTGAACCCAGGAGGCAGAAGTTGCAGGAAGCAGAAACTGTGCCATTGCACTCCAGCTGGGGCAACAAGAGCAAAACTCAAAAAAAAAAAAAAAAAAGAGAGATACAAGATTTTATTCTTTGTTTTGTGGTTGATTGGTATTCTGTTGTGTGTGTATACACATTTTCCAGTGTTCAATTGATGGGTACAACTGGATTTTATATCTTTGCTAATTATTTTTGGTATTTTTTTTTTTGAAACAGGATCTTACTCTGTCACCCAGGCTGGGTCACGATCCAACAGTGGCAGGATCATGGCTCACTGCAGCCCCAATCTCCTGAGACTCAGAAGATCCTTTTAACTCAGTCTCAGGAGTAACTGAGAGGACAGACACATGACACCATGCCTAGTTAATTTTTGTACTTTTTGTAGAGACAGAGTCTCACCATGTTGCCCACGATTGTCTCAAACGTGTTTTCCATTGGCTAAATATTTCACAGTGGGATTGCTGGATAATATAGTAGTTCCGTTTTTAGTTTTTTGAAAAATCTTCATTCTCTAGTAACTGTACTC